GAGGCAGAAGGATCGCTTGAGCCCAGGAGTTTGAGGTTGCTGTGAGCTAGGCTGACGCCACGGCACTCACTCTAGCCTGGGCAAAAAGAGTGAGACTCTGTCTCAAAAAAAAAAAAAAAAGTAAGTTCATCTAATAAATATGGTCAAACTTATTTTGCATAAAATAGTTATGCTCATTTTTTCTAGAAGCCATCTATTCTCCAAAGTGAGATATACCAGTATTCAAAAAACTGAAGTTATAGAAACTTTACACAAACTAGGACATGTTCTTGAAGGTTCTGGGGGAAAAGATCAACCAAAAACCGGAGAATGAAATTCGACCACGCAACACGAGGTGCAGACCTCAGGGATTGTCCAGGGGCCACCCCCGCAGCCTGGCCGAGCCCACCGGGTCCCACTCTGCAGGCACCTGCTCGTCTAGAAGCACCCGCACCTGTGCCGAGCCGCTCACCTGGACGATGCCGATGGAGGAGGCGTCGATGGTGGTGGTCTCTGGGAGGTGGTCCAGGTCATCGATCCTCACCGCCAGCACCTACGAGGACAGGGGTGGCGAGCGGGGAGTGCTGAGCCCGCCAGCGGCCGCTCACGGGCACAGGCGGGAACCCAGACACCACACAGGCGGGTCACCGACTTCCCTTCGTGGGCACCCCCGTGCCTCCGACCCTGCTCTGCCCAGGACCGACCGTGAAACACCGTCTCCAGAGTCCTGTCCAGGCTCACCCTTCCTGACCCCTCACCCCTAATTCAAGGTCCTGCGGTAACCTCAGGTGGGCGGTGCCGTCTTGCACTGTCCTTGAACCATCTCATGTCCACCCCGAGGGTGGAGACTCTGTTTCCTCCCTTTTCTGCCCACAGCAATGTGCTTTCAGGTGAGACTGTGGTGGCTCTTCTGCTATTTCTAGGGAAGAGCAGAGGGAGGACACGGGGTAGTTAACCTGCCTCCAAGGAATCACCAAAAATTAGACACCTGTGCCTTAAACATCTTAACTTTTAGCTGAGTCCATACACAAGGACCTTCACTTGTCAATTTTGGGAGAGAGTGACGCCCTGCCCCCGCCTTCCCTCCAGCAGCTGCACGGACCAGTGTCCTCAGCACATGATGGTCACGCCGTGACCACGCCCCCGTGCACACACGGTCCTCCCACCGGCTCAGCGAGTCCTGCCCAGGGTGAGCGGTGTCCACCGCCCACACCCTGCTCACACTAGCTGTACTGTCCCCGTGATCACTGAGTTGAATCACACGTGAGACAAGAGGCACAGCACTGGGACAGTGGAATGTGCTGGGGGTGTGCGACATCAGGAGTTGGTACAGAAGGGAACTAGCTGTGGAGACGCTACGCAAGACTGGGGAAAACCACAAGTCCATCTGCAGGGGCTGCCCCCGCCCCCCACCATCAACATCATCAGGGTCCTAGTCACAGTCTGAAAGCTGATTTCACAAAAGAACCAACATAGATGCATTCATTGGCTTTACTCTTCTTAGGAGATAAGACCAAAAGTGAAAAGTTTTTTTTTTTTCCTTTGTTTTGTTTTGAGACAGAGTCTTGCTCTGTTGCCTGGACTTGAGAGCTGTGGTATCAGCCTAGCTCACAGCAACCTCAAACTCCTGGGCTCAAGCGATCCTCCTGCCTTAGCCTCTGGAGTAGCTTACACCATGCCTGGCTAATTTTTTTCTAGTTTTAGTTGTCCGGCTAATTTCTTTCTATTTTTGGTAGAGACGGGGTCTCACTCTTGCTCAGACTGGTCTCAAACTCCCAACCTCAAGCCACCCTCCTGCCTCGGCCTCCCTGAGTGCTAGGATTACAGGTGTGAGCCACCATGCCCGGCCGAAAAGTGTTTTTTGTTTTAATTTTTTTTAGTGTTAATATTCACTCAAGGTAGGGAGAAAGATCATAGCTTGAAGTCACAAAATAGTATCAATCCTAAATCTCTGAAAATAGTTTGTTTAATATGTTAGCCTGACTCCAAGGAACACCTCGCTCCTCGAGTCTGTGACAGCACCAGTGGCCACAGGCTGGAGGGGACTACTGACCCCACACTCCCGGACAGCTGGCCTCAGCTGCAGCACCCGCGTGACCAGAGCAAAGCCCACGGGGTCCCACCTGTCCCCTCACGCCGCTGCCGGGGCTGCCTCTTCCACATCACCTATTCCAGTTTGCAATGCCCCTGCCTCTTGGTCTACTTCTCTTTTTCCTTCCGTGCCCCACCCAGACTGCGAAGCCCGGGAGGGCGGCGATGAGCTGGCTGGCTCGTCACTGGCAGGCGTGTGACTGAGTCAATACAGAATGAAACAGTCATGGGTGAAATGAGCAAAAGGAATGACCCACGAGAACATGCTAGAAGGCTGGAGAAACAAAATGGTTCTAGAACAAAGCAGACAGACAAAAGGGCCGCCATTGCGCTCTCCCCCGTGTCGCTCAGGCTTCCCCCTCGCAGTGCACCTGACTCTGTCTGGCGTGGACTCGAGGGAGCAGGGAAGGGAGTGCACTGCCCGGTTTCGGGGGCAGAGCACTGGAAGGTGACCTTGCACGGTGCTCCATGAGGAAGTGGTTACCAGCCCTGGCAAAGGGGGCCGCCGGGCAAAAGCGTCTGTGGGAGATGACTTTGTTAGCAAGGACTGTCTCCACCCAGCAACGCACGTCAGACGCCCAGCCGGCAAACCGGGTCTGCACACTCCTTATTAACACATTTCACTCTGCAAACCCCACAGTCAGGCGGAGACTGCTCGCACTCCAGCCTTGCTCATGGGCCCACAGGCCTGCTGCCCGCCCTGGGAAGCCTCCCGGACCCTGGCACTTCAGGCCTGCTCCCCGGACTTTATTTTTCCAGGTGCAAACACTAGCTGGCCACTAAGTGGGAAGCGAATACGTAGAGCCTGCGTAGGGGGCTCCGAGCTTCCCGCCGAGCAGGGAGCAGGGCAGAGCACGCCGGCATGGTCCCTCGGCCAGACTGGAGAGCCGGTCAAGTCCCTGCACAGCTCCAGGACCCGAACCGTCTGCAGAGGAGAGTGACAGCAATTCACCACCTCTAAATTAAGGCATCACTGGACGGACACTTAAGGCAGAATGTGCTTGTATAATTGCAAAAGCAATTCGTGCTCATTACAGGGAGTCCTAGAAAATGGAGAAAAACGTGAAGGGACGAAATTACCCACAAGTTTGACACCAGGAGAAAACCACTGTGTGATGTTTCCCTTTCTTTACTTATCTCGTTTATATTACATAAGTATTACACACACACACGATGTGTATGACATGTATTTTATATACTTGCGTGACATATACACGTGGATTGTTTTTTCATTTATATAACGAGCATTTTACCATTTTATTTAGAATTCTCTGTGAGCGTGTGTGTACAGGCAGACACACTGCTACACTGTCATTAATCACGTTCCTATAGCAGGACACCGAGGGCTTGGAATAACTTACGAAACACTCAAGAAATACTGTCACGCTACCTTCAAGAAAAACATCAGAGTGAGAGTGCCCAATTCATGCCAGCACAGTCGTTTCGAATCTAAAAATCTCCTGCTAACTCAGCAGGCGAAGGACAGTGTCGTCTGCCGTTAACACTGGCATTTCTGGGATTCGCAGTGAGGCTGAATGCCTTTTTGAATGTTTTTAAACCATACGTATTTCTTCTTTCATGAACTGACTCTCCATGTACACACTTGGTTCTTTTTTTCTGAGACAGGGTCTCACTATATTGCCCAGGCTGGCCCTGAACTCCTGGGCTCAAGCAGCCCTCCCACCTCAGTGTCCCGAGCAGCTGGGACTACAGGCGCACACCACGGTGCCCAGCTACACGCTGGGTTCCTCTTGCGTTTCTCATCGAGCGGTTATCAACTTTATTTATTCATTTATTTTTTGAGACAGAGTCTCACTCTGTTGCCTGGGCTAGAGTGCCATGGCATCAGCTCACAGCAGCCTCAAACTCCTGGGCTCAAGCGATCCTCCTGCCACAGCCTCCCAAGTAGCTGGGACTACAGGTGCACCACCATGCCCGGCTAATTTTTCTATATTTAGTAGAAATGGGGGGTCTCACTCTTGCTCAGGCTGGTCTTGAACTCCTAACCTCAAGCAATCCTCTGGCTTCGGCCTCCCAGAGTGCCAGGATTACAGGCATGAGCCACCCTGCCCGGCCGGTTATCACCTTTGGTATGAACAGTTTATATCTGGCAAAGATAGTAACAGCCTACACACGTTTTTCAGTCTGCCCTTTGCTTACTTTTTTGACCTACAGAGAAGTGCACATATCCCCAAATCTATTGATATTTTATACACAACTTCTTTCGCTGCTTTTCCTCTCAGAAAGTCTTCCCCTTGCAGTGATCTATTTCCCTGTATTCTCCTTGCTTTGTCGGTTTGCTTCTTTGAAAACACATCTGACTACTGAACATCCCTGGGCCTTCCTACAGAACAGGCTTTCAAGCGAGCCGGCCTCCTCTTGCTTCCCAACAATTTCTGCCTCCCGGCCCTCAACGCTGTTTTCTAGCTGGCCCAGCACCACAACGAGGACCCTGTTTTGCACTTTGGCTACTCTGGAGGGAAGAACAGGGGAGGGGCAGGTTGTGCGTCCATCTCGCCCTGACCCCAGGGGGAATACGGTTTATAACCTTAGCAAGAAGCACACTGAGGCTCTTCTACCCCACCTTCTTCACCGCTCTGCACCTCCACGTGGCAGGCGGTGCGCGCAGAGGCACCCAAGACCCAGGCCCTGCCTCGAGGAACTCAGGGTCTGCAGAGGGAGACAGATCCCTGAGCCAGCGTGGTGGGGTGTCTGAGACCCGGAAGCGTGCACAGACCACGGGTGGGGTGTCCAGATCTGCGCTGCGGAGGGCAGGGAGAAGGCGCTGGGCCGCCGCACTCACCTCCGGGTGCTTGCGCCGCATGTGCCGGCTCATGGAGGCCCTGGTGGACACCTTGGTCCCGCACAGCTGGCAGCTCTGCGCCTCCACCTTGTCGTGCGTGAGCTGCACGTGCTTCTGCAGCATGTACTCGGTGACGTACTTCTTGTCGCACACGGAGCACGTCCACTGCTTGCCCACTTCTCACGCACGCGCAGGCGGGGAGGGAAAGACAAGTGAGTGCAGGCAGCGGGGCGGGTCAGGTCGAGATGCACACAGGCGAGCGGCCCTCATCCCCACGGAGCCCCGTCTGCACCCGCCGGTGTCTGACAATTCGGGAATGGACACTGAAGCCGCGGCGGGCTGACTTTCAGAGGGCCAGTGGTCACTGCTAAGCCAAGACAGCACTGACCATTCTGGAAAAGTCCATGTAACAGAACAGGTGTGTCCACCCCTGCATGCGCTCCGACGGCCCCACCAGATGGTGGCCTGCAGCCGGAAGGTTCCCCAGATGGCGCCCACTCACCGGTGTGGATGAGCTTGTGCGTCTCCATGGTGTTCCTCTCGCTAAAGGTCTTTCCACACAACTCACACATGAAATCTTTAATCCCTGCAGAAAAAGGCACGCTTAATTCCACGTGTCTGATGAGCGTCTGAAGTTGAGTCACACCAGAGGATGTCTCACCCTGACGTGCGTGAGTAACTGCAGCGCCGGGAGAAGGTGAGTTGCCAGGGGACGGCAGACCGCGAACATCTATCCCCACACTCAGTGCAAGTGGGGCTTGAGAAACGTACCCTCGGCGGCAACATTTCATGTCAAAAAGTAATGAGATGTGGGAAGTTTTCTGAGGACACAGGTGGGGTGGGACTCACAGAGGAAAACAACCACTTTAATGCATTCATTTATCTACACCCCTCTCAGCGCAAAAAGATCCAGGCATCATACATGATACACACAAGGAGAGCTGGAGTAATAACTGAAATCAGGACCACGTGCAAGGAGAGCAGAGGCACACCAAGCACGAGAGACAATGGAATTGCTACAGTTGCACAAAATTAATATGGTTAAAAAGAACCTTTACTATAATGATTAAATCAGAGCTGATCTGACTCTCTATTGACTCGAAGGTAAGTGCTCAGTCAGTCCTGGCCTGGGACTGGCCCGGCAAGAGCCGGGAGCAGACACTGTAACACGGACACCAGAGGCCCCCGATCCTCCCCGCGGCCCCCATGCACAGGGCTCTGAAACGTCCCTTCCCAGTGCGGGACTGAAGCCCCAGAGCAGGGTGGGTCCGCGTCCGCCTTCGGCTGGGCGAGGGGATGGAGTCAGCCCCTGTTCCACTCCCCAGACTGATGGGAGGTGGCCTCTAAGGATGCCTTTAGACAAAGGTTTCCCCCCAAACAATGGAAACAAGGTGAGGGATTTTAAAAGGTTCCCTCACTCCTGCGAGAGTTCACTGAGCACCTCGTGTGCACAGGGCCCTGGGATGATGGGACAGAGGCCACCACAGCCCAGTGGGCTGGCAGGCGGGCGGTAGGCAGAGTGTGGGGTGTTCTGAGAACCCAGAGAGGGCACGTGGCTCAGTTCTGGGGAGCAGGAGAGTGTCCCAGAAAAGGCAAAGTGAGTAACGGATAGAGCTCCCCCAGGAAAGAGGAGGACGGTGCGGCTCCGGAAAAGTGCAGGCGCCCGCACGCCAGGGGACCCACGGCAGAGCCACGTGGCAGCCTGGGCCGCCCTGGGGAGAGGGGGTCAGATGGTGGTAGGACTCGACATGTGGTTTAGGGGCCCTGGGGACCATGGCGTGGGCTCCCGCTGCAGAGCTCACACTGAGATGCCTCTCTGGCCCTGCGCTGAGCACCGTGTCCTGGGCACAGATGCCCGCGGGGAAGACGGCTGAGTGGATGGGGGACAGCTAAGAACTGACGGGTATCGCCAGACGCCCCGACAAAGCTGCGCAGCACGCTGAGCTCCTGTGTGCACGGGGCTGCGTGTGACAGGGCCCCTGGGAGCGAAGTTCTGACGCATGCAGCTGCTTACCCACTACTCTGGGGGGTCACCCAGAAAACCCAGCGAAAGGGCGGCGTCTCGAGGTGGCCCTTTCGCATGACGTGTCCACCGGGACGCCCGCCTGCTTCCCCGCCTGGCGCCTGCCACCGAGGCGGCTGCGGGACTCACCCGTGTGTCGCTTGTAGTGCTTGAGCATGTTGACCTTCTGCGCGAACTTGCGGTGGCACTCCTTGCACTCGTACTCCTTGATGCCCTTGTGCAGCTTCATGTGGTGGCGCAGCGCGTGCTTGGTCTTCATGCCTTGCGGGGAGCGGGGGCGGGGATCAGAGAGCGGCCACGCCCACCACGCAGACCCCACCCCTGCGCAGGTGTCAGGCAGTGCCGCCGGTGAGGGGCCGCCGTGGGGTGCGGGTCCCACGGCTCCCCCCACCGCCACCAGCAAGACCTGGGCGGGTACCATCCCTGGAGACTGGCTGTGACACCCAAAGTGCTCAGCTCTGCTGGCGTCTGGCCCTGCACCTGACGGCCACACGCAACGCCCAGGGCTGTCGGCCAACTTCAGGTGCTACCGCCGTGGCCCCACCGGACCATGTGGGGAGACCCACTAGTGTGACTAAGGTTTCCTTGGACCTTGGTGACGTAATTAAGATTAGGACACTGCATGGTTTAAAGAGTGACTTTCAATCTACTTTTAGTTTAGCTTAAAGAAGCTGATCTTAAGGAGTTTCCACTCCTTAAACAAATAGGCACAACCTGGCTAACTCAGGCCAGGGGGGAAGGGAAGGCCCTGGCACAGGCTGGGGGGCACGCCGGCTCGGTGCGCGAGCCGTGCAGGGCACAACGCACCGGGCAGACCCCGTCCAGTCCTGCTGGCTGCAAGTGGGCCCAGCCCAGGGGCAGCGGCCGGGCCAGGGACGACTTGCGCTGTGCTGCGCAGGGCAGCGGTGGAGTTGGCATGTCCAGACCACTGCCGTCGGCCTCTGCATTTGGAGGAGGAAAACGACTGCACTGAAACGGCTCTCTCTGAAGCTGCCGGCTGTTCCCTTCCGATGCCGCTCGCTCACCAGGTTTCCCAGAAAACCCCCGTTTCAGCTGCCGGAGAGAGGCGAACTTCACCCAGCTCCTGCCTGAACTGTGAAACCGGGGGCCGGGCAGCCTCGCCTGCCTTGAGAAAACCGCCCTGAGCCACAGGGAGCAGGTGCCCCCGAGAGGACGCCGCGGTGCCCATGCAGACGCCACGGGGCGGGGCAAGTGCTAGCCCGTGTCAACCACAAAGAGACTGTACCTCAAAGAATCACTCTTAAACTTTTTGATTTAAAAACCTCATACGCACTCAGTGACAAAAACCACAGGTGATGAGAGGTTGGGTTAGGGGTTGGTGGTCCAGCAACCTGACCTTCAGGTCACACGATGGTGCCCAGCACACACTGGGCCGGTGCTGGCGCCCCTCTGGCCACACCCCTGGGGCAGTGTCACACTGCACAGAACCTCCTCTCTCCAGCCTGCCGGTGCCACCGAGCGACAACATCCTCAAGTGCTTGTCTTTCTGTGTCTCCCACAAAGGACATCAGCCCTGGCCTTGCAAACCCCTCAAGCACATTGGTTTCAACAGCTAAATCCCACTCGTGGCATTCCAACAAATGCTGAGCTCCTACTGTGTGCATACCAGGGCCTGGGCAGTGAGCCAGACGGAGTCCCTGGCTTCACGAGGTCCCCATTCTAAGTGGGGGAGAGGAACAGACAAGCAAACGTGGGCTGGGCGTGGTGGCTCACGTCTGAAATCCAAGCACTCTGGGAGGCCGAGGGAGGACTGCTCAAGGCCAGGAGTTCAAGACTAGCCTGGGTGACATAGCAAGACCCCATCTCTACAAAAAAATTTAAAAAATTAGCCAGGCGTGGTGGTGCACGCCTGTTATCCCAGCTACTCGGGAGGCTGAGGCGGAAGGATGGCTTGAGCCCAGGAGTTGGAGGTTACAGTCAGCTGTGATGACACCACTGCACTCTAGCCCAGGTGACAAAGTAAGACCGTGTCTCAAAAACAAACAAAAACCAAGCAAACACAGCAGTGTCACCTGAGAAGGGATGGAGAAGCAGGATGGAGCAGAGGCTGGGGGGAGGGGGAGTGGCACGGGGAAGGGGAGGGTGCGGCTGAGGTGCCAGTTCATCAGATGGGGTGTCAGGGGTCCCTGCTGATGAGCCCTCTGAAAAGGTGACCTGGAACAAGCTTGAGAGGAGCCAAGAGGTACTTGGGGGAAGAGCATTCCTGGCAGGGGGAACGGCAGGTGCGGAGGCCCTGAGGCACCACCACAGCAGGTGTAATTAATCCCTCGGTGTTTGAGGTTGTTCTGTCACAAACAAGCTGCAGGGGACACACGCTGCCTATCTTCCCACTGCAAACAGACCTTCACGCTGCAGACACATAGGATAAACTTCTAGCTCCATCTAACTGTGGCAGACACTGCCTGGCTGCCCACCCCTGGAACTGGCACGAGGAGCCACCCCAGGTGTGACTGGCACAGCCGGCATCGTGGCGCTGACCCTGGCACCCTGCTCCGTGTGCACCTGAGGCGCACGCCTGCTACATCACAAAGCTAACATGCGGCCACGGGGAACGCGGACCCAGAGACAGAAAGAGACAACGCTCATCTCCACGTCCGACCACCTGTCACAGCCAGTGTTTGTGACATTTTTTATTTATTTACTTTTTCAGACAGGGTCTCCCTCTGCCACATAGAATGGCGTGTAGCGGCACAATCATAGCTCACTGCAGCCTCAAACTCTTGAGCTCAAGACATCCTTCCGCCTCCGCCTTCTGAACAGCTGAGACTACAGGTGTGCTCCACCAAGCCTGGCTAGTTTTTTTAAATTATTTTTTGCAGAGATAGGGTCTCATTATATTGCCCAGGCTGGTCTTGAACTCCTGGCCTTAAGTGATCCTCCTGCCTCAACCTCTGAGCTCCCAGAGCGTTGGTACTACAGCCGTGTGCCACCACACCTGGCTAATTTTTCAAAAAAAAAAATTTTTTTTTTTTTGATAGAGTCTTGCTCTGTTGCCCGGGCTAGAGTGCCGTGGTGTCAGCCTAGCTCACAGCAACCTCAAACTCCTGGGCTCAAGTGATCCTCCT